GCACACACACACATATTATAAGGGAATGGAGAACTAGTCCGCAATCCCTGTGTCAGTGTAAAAGCCAAATATGGGGAATGCACACACTTAAACCCTCTCTCTCTCTCTCTCTCTCACTCTGTCTCTCTCTTACACACACACACACACACACACTCACAGACATACGCACACATATATTCAATAACGGAATAGACACACACACAGACAAGTATTTAGTTCTCACATATATATATATATATATGCAAGTATTCAGTTCTCACATGTATATATACAAGTATTCAGTTCTCATATATATATACAAGTATTCAGTTCTCATATATATATATATATATATATATATATATATATATATATATATATATATATATATATATATATATATATATATGAGAACTGAATACTTGTATATATATATGAGAACTGAATACTTCTATATATATATGAGAACTGAATACTCGTATATATATATATATATATATATATATATATATATATATATATATATATATATATATATATACGAGTATTCAGTTCTCATACATATTTATATATACAAGTATCCAGTTCTCTCTCATATATATATATATATATATATATATATATATATATATATATATATATATATATATATATATATACAAGTATCCAGTTCTCATATATATATATATATATATATATATATATATATATATATATATATATATATATATATATATATATATATATATATATATACAAGTATCCAGTTCTCATATATATATATATATATATATATATATATATATATATATATATATATATATATATATATACAAGTATCCAGTTCCACAAATGTATATATATATATATAAATATATATATATATATATATATATACAGACAAATATCAAGTTCTGACAAATATATATACACTGGATACTTGTCTGTATATATATATATATATATATATATATATATATATATATATATATATATATATATATATATATATATATATATACACATACATACAGTTTAACAAATATATATATTACACAGACACATACAGACAAGTATCCAGTTCTCACAAATAAATATATGTATATATACTTATATAACTAGATACTGGTCTGTATGTGTGTGTGTGTATATATATATATATATATATATATATATATATATATATATATATATATACATACATACAGACAAGTTTCTAGTTATATATATATATATATATATATATATATATATATATATATATATATATATATATATATATACATATATATACACACATATATATATATCATTATCATAAACCACTTCTGCCGCTAAGCGGCGTGGGGGAGGAATAAATTGCGATCCAGTGAACGTTGGCGGCCACTGGCTATTGTCATGCCGTGAAGGCGTAGAGTATCTTTAATGTTGTCGATCCATGCTTTCCGCAGTCGTCCTCTTGCTCTTGTTGCTCATCTTCAGAGATGTAGTGCTTGCTATGGTATTTGATCTTGCTGCATTCTAACGAGATGGCCAAACCATTTGATCTGCTGTTTCTCGACGAATTTAGTACAAGGTGTCGTTCCCACAATTTGTCTGATAGTTTCATTATTTACTCGATCTCGGATGGTTAGGTTGGCTGCTTTTCTCAGGCACCTTATCTCGCAGTGGTGATTTTGCGTATGTGGGCTTTAGATAGTGTCCATGTTTGGCACTAGTAGCTTAATGTTTGAATGAATATGCTATTAATAATCTGTCTCTTTGCACTCATAGTTATGCTTGGATGTCTTAATAATGGTGACAATTGGTAAATAAGTGCACTTGCTTTCTAGCATCTGGTTTCTATTTCTCTGTCAATCCTACCATCTTCTGTGATCATACTTCCTAGATATTTAAACTCCCTAACTTGATTCAGAGCAGAACTATTCAGCTGTATGTGTAGTGGGGCAGGAGCTCTACTAACTTGCATTGTTTCTGTTTTGTTTATATTGATCTTTATGTTGTATTTTACTGCATGCTGAGTTTTACCTGGTAATGTGTTCTTGCAGTCTATCTTCTTCAGGGTAGAACAAGCACTGGTCGTCAGCAAATAGTAGTTCGTTTAATGTGGGTGAATCGATAACTTCTTCTGATGTGTGTACTTCAATATGACTATAAAGGTCTATGTTGTCTGTATCAGAACTTGCTTCTTTAGATATCCTGTCTATATAGATGTTAAATAAAAGCAGGGAGAGCACACATCCCTGTCTCACATCTGTGTTGACTGTGAACATATCTGCTATGCCTTCTTGTGTTCTTATTGCACTTTGGCTTGTGTGGTACATGGCTATAATGTTCTCTAGTAACTGTCCTTGTACCCCGTAGTTCTCAAGAACAGACCACAGTTTGTTTGTATCCACTCTATCAAAAGCTTTTTCCTGATCTACAAACACAATATTCTGTTTGGTGTTATACTCAATGGCTTTCTCACACACTTGCCTCAGAGTGAATAATGCATCTGTGCATCCTCTGCCTTTTCTGAAACCGAATTGTGATGCACTCAGCTGTTGTTCAGCTATGGGCCTAACTCTCTGTTCTAGTAATTTGGCGTACATTTTTCCTACGTGACTCAGTAGTGATATACCTCTGTATGCTTCACATTCTCTCCTATTACCTTTCTTTTTCCATAATGGTACTATTAGTGCCTGTTGCCACTCAGCTGAGACTTGTCTTTCTTTCCAAGCTATTTTAAAAATTATAGTAAGCTATTTAACACCCACTTCTCCGCATGCTTGGATCCCTTCTGTATTCATTAGGTTGCCTGTGGAATTGAGAAGTTCTTGAAAATACTCTGCCCATCTTGCCAACCTCTGTTGTGGACTAAATAGATGTATTCTTCTCTTGTTGTTGATGATAATTGTTGGGGTTTAGCTTATGTCTCTTTCATTATTTTTACATGTTTATAGAATTCTCTAGAGGAGTTCTTGCTGAGGGTAGCCATCTGTTGACCATAATTTCTCCAAGAATCGTCTTTAGATGTTTTAATTTTGCGTTTTGCTTCTCTACTGACTAATCTATAATGAACATAATCTTGATGTGATTTTGATTTTATCCATTTTGTATATGCCTTTTTCTTTCTGGATACGATGTCTTTAACTTCGTTGTTCCACAAAATAGTTCTTAAACGTTTTACAGCACCTACCCTTCTGACTCCGCATTTGGTTTGAAGTGTGTTGCGCACAGCCGTCCTAAAGCATGTCCACTCTGAATCGATGTCTTAATATTTGTCTGGAAGGTTATTTAGTAGCTCTGACATTTCTTGTTGGATCTGATCTTTAACCACATTATCCTGAAGTCTCCGGAAGTTGATAACATCTGAAGTTACTTTTTTATGTCTTTGTTTTATGTACTCAGTGTTATTTTTATTTTAACTGGTCTATGATCAGTGTCAGTGTTTGTGTTTGGTAGGACTCTTGAGTGAATTAATTGTCTTCGTTTTGTCTTCATGAATAGAATAAAGTCAATTTTTGAAACCTGATCTAAATTGTGCCATTTATACCAGGTTTTGGTATGACTGCGTCGATGTTGAAAAAAACTGTTTGTTATTATAAGACCTTGTTGTGAACACAAGTTAAGTAGATGTTCTCCGTTGCTGTTACAATCCGTATATATATCACTGAATGGCCCCTTACATTCTTCCCATGGCGATCTTCTTGCTCCTATTCTTCTATTAAAATCACCCATCACAATTAGATCATCACTTTCACTGACGTCGGAAAGTTTCTCAAAGTATTCTTTCCTGTCTTCTTCACTATAACTGTCGTTACAGGGAGCATAGGTTTGCACAATCGTTGTTGTTCTAGACCCTTCTTTGATCTGAATGAGTATGATTCTTTTTGATATAAAATTCAATGTGGATAATATTTTTTGCATTATCGGGGTGAATTATAAATTATTAAAACCGACTCCACGCTTAGCTACTCGCTCATTGTTCGACACCGTTCCATACCAGAACATAATTTTCATGTATTAGTTTCGTGTTGTGCCCCTTTCTTCTCGTATCCGCCAATCCTAGTTTTTGAATATTTGATTTCTTTATGAATTCCACTAACTCAGGTTCTTTGTTGCCCAATCCACAAAGATTCCAGGTTCCGAATATCTCCTGCCTGTTTCTAAATTTTCGCTTGCTGCTGTCATTAGTTTGTCGATGGTGCTCGTTTGTTGTCGTTAGCTTGCTATCGAAAACTGGTTTGTTCGTTGTGTGTGTAATGTGAGCGCTATTTGAATTACGCATTTTCTTCAAAATCCTCCATAATTCTTGAGCAATTTTCCGTGAACAAATAAATTCCCTACCGGCTTGCTGGACCTGTCGCAGGATCATCCTTATTTGAATACACGGATGTTTGAAAACACACAAAAACACTCATTTTCGTCCCACAGAATGTTAACCGACTTTTGTTTACTCCGCCATCTTAAATTTTTCGTCCTATAGAATGTTAACCGATATATATATATATATATATATATATATATATATATATATATATATATATATATATATATATATATATATATATATATATATATATATATATATCGTCTCCAGAGGGGTAAACGAAGATAGCGTCCAGAGTCGCGAAGAATTTTAACTCAAACAAGTAGGTATTTTAAACAAAGGTCGAATACCAGGCAAACGTTTTACGCGTTTAAACAGGACGCATCCCAAGTTGAACGTATACCAAAGCTAACGTAAACGAAGTACTACAATATCTCTGTTGTAGGATTTATTGAGTGAATGGTGTTAACCTCGTGTGTTTCTAGTCTAATGAGTGTCCAATATGTAATTTTTTTTTTTAAATATATTGACAGTCCCTTTGTTCCTCAATATTTTCTAGTACTCGTTTAATGTTGGTCGAAATAGAAGGCAATGTCAACTTTTTAAACAAAATACAGCATCTACCCGAGATGACTGCTGAGCCAGTGAACCGAGCTAAAGCAAGTCCTAAGAAATATGTACTACATAAATTACACAAACAACTTACCATATCCGCCACCGTAGCCACCACCGTAGCCGCCACCGTATCCGCCTTTAACTGGAAGAGCCACAGGGAGAGCAACAGGGATAGGGACTGGGAGAGCTATACCTTTTCCGTATCCTCCTCCTAATCCGTAACCACCCCCATAAACACCCCCAATCCCACCTAATGCTCCATATCCACCGTAACCTCCTCCATATCCACCGTAACCACCTCCATATCCACCGTAACCACCTCCATATCCACCGTAACCACCTCCAAGGGCAATACCAGAACCAAACCCTGCACCAATCCCGAGAGCGAAGGAGCCTTGAACACTGGCTGCCATGACAGCGACGGCAATGAAAGCCACTACAAGGACGGTCTTGTACATGATCTGTGGACGGAGTCAGAAAATAAATCTCTTACTGGAGCAGATATTCGTTACAGATCAGTTTCTCGAATAGATGTGGGCACAGGGGACCAGTTGTAAGAAGGAAAAAAAAGTGATAGACCAACCGTTTCCCTAAAATACATGTAGTTGTTTGAGTGCATCTGTTTCAGAGGCCAATAAGCTAGATCTGTAAAACAGATATGCACTCAATACTCATCATCATCATCATCATCATCATCATCTTCTTCTTCTTCTTCTTCTTCTTCTTCTTTTTCTTCTTTTACTCCTTAAAATATAAAAGTAAAGTATATCCCATGCCACCATTCGTATTATGCATACAGGGCTAGACATATATTTTACAGACCAACGGCACTTGTTGGGTGATGTGGTGAATATCCCGCACTTCGCCTTTACTTCCCAGGACTATATATATTACCCACTGAATGCTGGGTTGACCTGAGAGCCAAGTTCATTAAAAAAAATCATGCTCTGCCAGAACTTGCATTCTCGACCTTTCGAACCTCAGGCGAGCATAATAAATCATATACCTGTCTTCTTCTTTTGTCAAAATCTGCTTGTGCCGCTAGGCGTCGCAGTCTATCAGATGATCGGCAACCGATATACCTGTATCACCATCTAATTCACACAAAGTCCATACAGTTATTATCAACCATTCTTGACATGTGTAAGTTTCAACGTTAGTAATCATCTTTTGCAATCCCGTTGGATCACCAGTCTTTTATCAAGTCTGTGCTCTCATCCCTTGAATACCAGCCAAGCCGTTCCGCTAATGAGTTTCGCCCATTATATCTATCCAAGTGCTTTAATAACTTTGCCATATCGAAATCCATTTAACATGACCATTACCTCACAACAGTTAAATTACTTTTTTTCCCATCGGTAGTGATCGTTCATGCAAGGCGATTGGCACGTCATGTTGTGGTTTACAGCTAGACCACGCCTTTAGGCCACACACAGTAATTTTTTTTTAATATGCTTGTTGAGAAACAGTTGTTAGTAGCGTATCCTATACGCGTTTTTGCAGAACCAACCCTAGCATTTTTTTGGCTGTTGTGGTTTTTCTAGGCAAATTTACGTCCAGTAGTTTGCCATTGCTTTCTGGACAATCAGCTTCTCGATACCACTGTCGGAACCAACGCAATGCGCAAGGTCCGCAGTTGGAATTGAACCCGGCACCCCGGCATTACGAAGCTCGTTCGCAACGTCCAAGCCACAGATGCCGACGTTAAGGAACAACAAAAACAAAAAAATTTCAAGAACAAAACAATTCCCCGTCTTTGACAGTTTAAAGAGAATGTAAAAAATAAACGAGGGCGCAGAAAGCATACTGGAACTAATGCTGAATTTGTGTGTATGTTAGAGCAGTCTGTCCAGAAATTCTAACTAAATCACTTCACTTACGTCGGAGTTATGGATCCTTACTGGAGAGGTAAAGACGTCTCGAAGATGACAATGCTGGTGAAATTTCTGTTTGAAACATCGGCTTATATACACTTGCCGAATCCAAAAAAAACTGACTGTTAACGCCCTAGGAAAATCTTAAGATTCTGTCACGTAATCAGTTTAATCCATGATGATTAACTAGCAGGAAGAAAGGAACATCACTGGTGATTACAATACGACAACTAGCTGTCAACTGTAAAATACGAAGTCGTGAGATCTGTGGGTTTTTGTGTGTGTATTTTACATGGATGCATAGCAGCTGAACCATACGTGGTTTCTGGCTCTTGAAGACTTATATTCACCACTCCACGGTCATCCTAGACACAGACTGCCAATGTTGGTAAGATAAATGTTTCTTTGAAGTTAGAGCGTATCTGCCTGAGAGGAGAGGAGCCGGCGGTATGCACACAAATTAACCAACTCATGTAAAACGGATGTGCACTCAGAACTCAAGATTTGAAACAAGACCATTCCAGAAGTGGGCGAAGAACTAGGGCTTCATCATTTCTTCTCCTCTTCTTCGACTCCTCCTACTTCTCCTCCTTCACTATTCATCATCATCAGGTGCCTTGCCGACTGGCGTAGGCGATCATGCCTCTCCATAATCTGCGATCTCTTGCAGCATGTATCAGTTCGTGTGCCGACACACCTCCATGCCATGCAACAAGACTGTCAAGAATCTTCTCTCGTTGTCTTCCTCTATCCCTCCTTCCACAGCTCTTTCCAGTGGTCACAACATGTTCTATTTTCCCTCTTCTCATAACATGGCCGAAAAATGATGACCGTCTCCTTCTGATGTCTGTGATAAGTTGTCTTCGGGCTCCCGCCTCTTTCAAAACCTTTTGTTTGCTCTTTTTGGCTGTCCAATGTATTCTAAGCATTCTTCTGTAAAATCACATCTCTGAGGCCTCTAAAATTGTTTGGCCTTCCTACCGATTGTCCATGATTCACAGCCATATGTTAAAACTGGATGTATGTAGCAATACCTTCACTATTATTAGTACTATTATTATTATTCTATTACTGCAGCAACTATTATTAGTACTATTATTATTATTCTATTACTGCAGCAACTATTACTACTGCTGCCACTGCTACTATTACTAAGTTACTACTCTACTTCAACGACTCTACTACTAATACTACTACTACTTCTACAACTAGTAGTAGTCATAATAGTAATAATTCCAATAATACCACCACTGCAACTACCAAAACAACTACTATTCCTTGTACTACTATCACTACTATAAGTACTACTATTAGCACAATTACTAATACCACTGCTACAACTACTACTGCTTTACTACTACTATGATTTCAAGTACCATTTTGTTTTCTTCTTTTGAGTTCTCTCTTAGAAATCACTTGACATGGTATGCTGTGTTCTATAGCTAGGCTGTGTTGCCCGGTGCTCCGTCGTAGTTGATAGCGCGTTGGAAGTAGGATGACAATGCCCATGCATGTCTGGTCTCTGGTTCGAGCCGGGGGATGGCAGAAAAGCCCCATACTCCCCAGTTGTTTAAAAAAAAAAACTGCTGTGATCAGGGAAAATGAGATTATATCACCAGACAATACCAGTACCATTATTTGGTTCAGTAAGGCAGTGGTCATTTTTCCCATGCCAGAAGAATTCCAGTGGGATTAACACCTTAAGGGTGAGAATCAAACAGTAGTAATTCCCCCTAAACCTCCTTCAAACGTATAACACGACACTCTTATTATCCTATCAAAACAAAATTAAACCTGAAAACTTTATGTTGTGTCAGGCTAGAACAGGCCCTCAGCCTTGGCTGACAGCCGGTTTCGGAGAAAAGCTCAAACAGACTGACGGACAAAGCAATGCTTGTGTGATCCGACAACGTTTCTTTTTTTCCCCTTAAAGTATTAGTGTTACCTTTTCTTTGAAGTAAACAACGAATGATGCCTGGACAATGAAGTAAGTAAGTAAAGGACCATTTTCCACGTCTTTAGGCGCATAGGGCATATAGGGCTAGACCTATATTTTATAGACTAATCGGCACAAGATGGGTGATAATGGTCAGCATCACGCTAGCCGCCTTTACTTTCCAGGACTGCACCTGCTATCTACTCAAGGCTGGGTGTACCTGGGAGCCAAAGTCATTTTTTTTTAAGTCTGGCTCCTCCAGGGAACCAACCCATGACCTTCTGCTCCGAGGCGAGCGTCTATCCGCGCTGCCACACCGACTCTCCTGGACAATGAATGGTCCTTAAAATAACGCCAACACGCGCAGCTCTGGCTAGTCACACTCAATATTGCAATGGACATTCATAGGCTCTCCAAAGCACAATCATCATCATCATCAGGTGCCTTGCCGATTGGCTTGGGCTATCATGCCTCTCCACAATCTGCGATCTCCTGCAGCATTTATCAGTTCGTGTGCCGACACAACTCCATGCCATGCAACAGGACTGTCAAGAATCTTCTCTCGTTGTCTTCCTCTATCCCTCCTTCCACAGATCTTTCCAGTGGTCACAACATGTTCCACCCCCCCCCCCCCCCTCTCTTTTCATAACATGGCCGAAAAATGATGACTGTCTCCTGCTGATGTCTGTGATAAGTTGTCTTCGGGCTTCGGCCTCTTCCAAAATCCAAAATCTCTTGGTTGCTCTTTTTGGCTGTCCAAGGTATTCTAAGCATTGTTCTGTAACACCACATCTCTGAGGCCTAGCACAATATAGCACTCTAACCTGGAAAGATGGAAAGATATGGACGACGTTAAAGCAGCCGCGGAGTTACAACGCCAGATTTACTAATCCAATCATAATGAGGATGATCATGTTGATGGATTAGATCACTAGCTTCGTATGTATGACATAACATGTAATCTTGCGTCTGTACTAGCCTTTGGCTACAGTGCGACCGTCCTAAATTAACATTAATAAATTTAACATTTAACTGTACAAAAAATCTACAGATCTCGTCACCTCGTCATTAAAAATGTCACCTGCAGTCATATGTTGATAAATTGTGATGCCGTTTCCTTTCGGTTATGTAGACAAAGATTGAAAAAAAAAAAGATTGTGTAATCAGAGTCACAGATCAGCTTGCGGAGATACCAACGCAACATTTGCAGTGGGCAAGTGTCTATAAGCGGAGGTATGAATAAGGGATGACAACCATTGCCATCTTCCAGACGTCCTTACACCTCAGCAAGGACCCATAGCTCTGACGTGAGTTAAGGTTAGTTGCGTATCCCTTACAGGGCGTTGCAGAACCAACCCCAGCAGCCCCTGGCTGTTGTGTGGTCTTTCTAGGCAAATTCAGTAGTTTACCATTGCTTTTTGGACGGTCGGCCCCCTGATACCACTGTCAAAACCAACGCAAGGCGCATGGCCCGCAGCTGGAATCGAACTCGGCACCCCGGCATTATGAAACGTTCGCATCGACTTAGCCACAGAGCCGACCTGACGTGAGTACAGTGTGTTGTTTATATTCAGAATTGGGCTATTCTCCGAACAACGGGCACACAAGATGGCGGCCCAAAACAGGGCCTCAGTCACTTGCCATTGCGCAC